TTTGTGCTATTAGGGAAGTAAACATCCTCTCCGGTACTTAAAAGTTGGCGAAACCCCCGTTAATGATTTATAATTAATATTTTAAGAGGCAATAATTTGTACCGCTAAATTCTCTCATCTAGGATGTTATCCACGGACTCGGAGGAGAAGTTCCCTTGGAAATGATCGAGTTTCGAGTGGAATACGTTATCCGACTCGATGCATAAAATATATCTACCTTTTCATGCGCTCGTCCATTAACTCTAAAGTATCGCTAAAGTTGCGGCGATTCTCAAAGAGATCGATTCGGGGAGAAGGACCAAGGGACGTCTACATCCCCGGGGAATATGCTGACCCCGAGATTCAAATCCGGGGAGTTTAAAAGCGACTTGACGTAAACGTAACCATTTCTCATATCCTCCTGTGCCGCTTCGCTCCGATGGAGTCGCATTTGCTACACGCTATTAGTCGCGTCTCTCCTCTGATTTATCGGAACCATATCCATTTTCCTCCTTAGAAAATCGGAGAGTCATTTTATCGGAGCCTGCATCGATAATGAGATTTTCACCGACCGTTGAAAACCGGACCTAATAAATTAATCTCCTTCTCCGTAGAAATGCAAGACGTCCATAGCTAAGTAACTATTTCAACTAAAGTCATATGAAATAGGGATCCAGTATGTAAAATGGCATTTTCTATTTTGTATTTTAAATAAGAATGAGAAAAAACTATTTTGGATTTTCTATTATAAGTAGAAAAGCGTTTTACTCAGCTCTGCCGACGCCATCATCTCCTGAGGAGCTCGAAAGGCGTCACGAGGACTTATTGAGGAATAAGATGCGGAATGATGTCACTTCGTGTCGATTAATTTATTTTTGACGTTACTAATTTCACTACGATTACCGGGATAATTAATTTCAGTGTTAAGATTAAAGTTTCGTAACCTAGCTAAAGCCTTCGCTGGAGCGGGACGAAGACCGAGTACGTGTTAAAATAGCGTCATTAAAGCTACAAAGCTCGCTTGGAATACTTGACGTGGTCGAGTCTTAAGAATGGTTTTCACGATCAGCCCAGCAGATCCCTAAACCTGTTCATGTTTCGGAGGATTCGATGACAACGGGGGGCCGAAAAACGAGTAATTGTTCGCCAGGAATGATGGCGTTTTCGTCACGACCGAGTCGGTCGTGGAATTAGTAGTAACTTCACGGTTGTCAATATGCTGCGGAATAGTCAAAGGAACCGGAGACCATGTCTTTTGCGCTTCGAACACCGCCAACCAGAAATACAGACTGACAACTACAACAGAAATGAAAAAAAAGACAGTCTTTGTACAAGCAAAAGAGATTAAATCTATGGAATAATGGAATGAAAAATGAGCCCTCTTCACGTTCGGGAAAAATTTTAAAGAAGCCCACCTACATTGAGAAAAAAATGTTCATCGCACGAAATAAATATTTCGTTCGTTAAAAGAATAATTATTTGAGCGAAATAATTATTCTTCGAAAGTGCGGAAACATTTTTTTCTCACTGTACTTATATTTCATGGATCGGATGCAGCTTTAAGTAAGAATTGTGGTGGAAAAAATGTATTAAACGTTTACTTACGCATATACATGATGTATGTTGGAATATATAAGGCAAATTGGTCATCCGTAGGTGAGTTGCGAGTTATGTACGCCATGAATGCAAGAAATTGGTCTATGATGCCAATCGCTTGTAGGAATAACCAAGGTTTGGCATATTTTCGTTTTTTCTGGAGAGATTGAATTTTCAAATGAATCATGAGCCGTGTTAGTTGATTAGTTTTTCTTGGTAGTTAATTCTTGTTACTCACTGCGACTGATCCCAGTATTAAGTAGGAGCTGGCAAGCAGAAAGAGCGTGGCATAGACCAGAAAGCAGATTAAAATGGTCTCGACTGAAAAATGAGAGTACTCGATTGAGCGGGCGTTACTTTACCTCGAGTCAAGTGGCTCTTATTTATGAGCCGTAGCACTCACTCTTTTTCTCCAGTCGGGAATTTTTCATCATCTGCGTCCAATTCATTCCTAAATGCGCCCATGTCTGCAGGATGCCCAGCAACTCGTCGTCCTTATCCCTGGAGAAGAAGTCGCTCACCAGGATATTTATCATCAGGATCGAGGAGGACTGATCATTAAAATAAACAAATTAATTGTGTAATTAAACCATTCCGCGGGAATCAATTGTGAATAAATGCATTCCCTTTTAAAGACTCGTTCGTGTACATTAATACACAATTTTGGAAATTAGAAAATATGAAACTACAAGTGGTACACGCGGATTTGGAAGTACTAAGAAGTTTATTGACAAACGGCTTAAATTATTTAGGGGAAAATAATACGTACTACTCCTAGAGTTCCAATTATTCTAGCTTCGAGAGTTCGGCTTAGGCAACACATTTTAACCGCTGTTCATGATCCGAAGGCCCAAGTCATACTGGATACATATAATTATCTTGGAATATATCACTTGCTTTGCTAGTTACGACCTTCAAGTAAGAGTTTCAAGGCATTGTTTGGGTAATAGGTAAACACACCTCGGGTCATGATCAATATCCATCGGAGATTTGGAAGGAGATTACAAGTGAAATCATTTTTGTTACAATTATTCTCGGATTAATAACTATTATTGGAATACTGTAAATAATTACATATAATTGTAGGTAGCTTAGTTATTTAATCACAGAGGTTATACTTGAACTGATGAAATCTATTTATTAACTCAACACCCGGTTATCTGACTTTGCAATATATTATCCAAACCTTATAATATGCAGATTGTAAAAATATAATTCATGTTTAAGATTTTCTGTAAGATCTTCGGCTGTCTTTATCGAACGAGTTTTGAATTTCGCGCCTGAACGGTAGAAAAGTATTGCGCACTTCTGATGCGCGAGAACTCGACACGTGCGCGTGTTCGGTGAAATAGGTTATGTCTATGGAAGGTGCCGTTTTATTTATTCTTTACGAGTAAACGTAAACTTTTTCAATTGTGCATACGGAAATCGTGTAAATACAAATGACAGTTCAAGACATGGATATTTGTTTAAACATTTCATCGGGTCCAGATGATTTACAGCCGAAATGGGTAAGTCATAGGTTAAGAAGGGTTATGTGTTCATTTGTTGTTTTCTCTTATAAATTTATTTAACACCACAGAAAGCTCAAGGAAAGGAGAAGTCCTTAAAGAATATAAAAAAGAAATCGAAAAATAAACTGTTAGCAAAAAGAGGTAAACCAAGCGTGAGTAAAACTGTGCCACAAAATGTTTCCAATGAACAGATCAGTGGCAAGAAAAGAATCAAACAGAAATCACTGGGTGAAATTGTAGCCAGGAAATTGAGGACAGTCAATAGTGGCAAGAATGTTGAATTATCAAAGATTAAGTCCAGTATGGTTTCAAGAAATGACAGGGTTAAACTTGCCGAGACCTTACCCGAGTCGAAGACAGGTGGATCGTGCGATACCACTGCGTCCAATGTTATAAATCAGAATTTAGATAAATCGATAGTTTCTTTTACTAAGCCAACGAAAGAGAATTTTGTTAAACCACTTTTAGTAAGGAAACAAAATGTTGCGGGGACAAATGAAAAGAAATCGCTATCTGATATCTTTTCTAAGGAATCTTCGCCAAAGGACAACAATTCAGGTCTATTAGATTTAAAACGAATGTTTGACAAAGTTGCAACTGATCCACAGATTACAAAACAAAAATTAAAACATTCAGAGAAAATATTTTTGAAAAGTGATTTGGGAAAATTGGAATCAAACAATCCCAAGCAGATTGTAAATAGGAAAATTTTTAATAGAGGCGAAGATAACAATGGTAGGACTAGGAAAAAAAATATGAGAGAGAATAAGGCAGGAAAACAGGACACAGAAAGTACTAAACCACATTGGTCAAAAGGAAAGGCCTCATATTTATTTAGTAATAATCCTGAGATACCAATTATCGGTCAGAGATTTGTTAAACCAGTAAATGAACAAGTTTTTACTGGACAGAAATTCAGTGATCTGGATGTTCATGCCTTTATGGTTAGTACCACAAATGTATGTTGACAAAAAATTATTTTTATAGCAATTATTCATTACATTTTTTTAATCAGGTATCAAATCTTGAACAAAATATGCAAATAACAAAAATGACAACGGTACAGCAGAAAGCAATTCCTGAAATTTTAGCAGGTAAAGACGTCCTGGTCAGGTCGCAAACAGGTTCGGGGAAAACGTTAGCTTACGCCGTACCAGTAGTCGAGTCGTTGCATAAAATTAGACCAAAGTTGTTAAGAAGCGATGGTCTTATGACTCTTGTTGTCGTACCTACTAGAGAATTAGCCCTGCAGACTTACGAGTGCTTTCTGAAACTCATAAAAGTAAGTAAATCGTATGTCAAAGGAGAAAATAGATTATTTTGTTTATATTGTCCGATTTTAGCCATTCACATGGATCGTGCCTGGGTATTTAGTTGGTGGAGAAAAAAGGAAAGCAGAGAAGGCACGACTTAGGCGTGGATGTACAATTTTAGTAGCGACTCCTGGTAGGTTATTAGATCATATAAAACACACCGAGGCTTTAAAATTAGATACCGTTAAATGTTTAATCCTCGACGAGGCTGACAGAATGCTTGACATGGGATACGAAAAAGATATTGCAGGGTAAGCATCCATTTTATGGGAAATTATACCATCTGTCAGAATTCCTGCTTAAATTCAAAATGTTTATGTAATTCAATTTCAGTATTGTCACTGCACTGAATGTGTCTAGTAACGACAGTAAAAATTCGAACTACGATCCATTGCAAATTCTTCACGATGGTGTACATAAATTGGATAGTAATAAAAGTTTAAAGTTGGATGTCGATGCAGACGAAAGTACTAACGCAACCGAACCCGAAGATGAAGAAAGTAACAGGGAACCAGGAAGTATTTTGAGAATACAGAAAAAGAATTATCATTCTGATACGGACAGTGATTCGGAAGAAGACAATCATTCCTCTGAGGAAACATCAAAAACAGAAACAAAAACCAAGGAGAGTTGCAAAGCAGATGAAAATATAAACAATCCTAACCTCTCCACAAGGCAGACCATTTTGTTATCGGCAACGTTAACTCAGGCTGTCGAAAAGCTGGCAGGTCTTACGACAAGGCATCCAGTGTTAGTTGATGCTGCCGAGGAGAATTTGAGAAACGTCGATGGGAATCTAAATGAAATTAATGAAGATTTAATCGTCCCCCAAAGTGTTGTCCAAAATTATATCGTGACCCCACCAAAACTAAGAATGGTCACATTAAGTGCTTGCATTGCTGGAATATGTCAGGTAATCGTCTACTCATTGAACCTGGTTTAATTATTTTTAACATCATTTCCAATGATTTTATGATTTATCAGCGCCCTGGGCAACACAAGACAATAATTTTCATGGCGACTCAGGACATGGTAGACTATTATACAGATATTCTATCCTCCGTACTTGGCACATCCCTCGAAGAATATGATACGGATCCCCTTGTCGATGCAGAGTTTTTCAAATTACATGGCAACATGACTCAAAAGGAGAGAACAGAAGTATTCAACACATTCCGAAAAGCCAAAAGTGGGGTGCTTCTCTGTACGGTGAGTTAATTATTCCCTTTTAAAGATATATTTAATATTATAGTTCTTCCATTTTGGCTAAACGCGTCATTACGAGAATGCGATCTTCAATGTCGACCGTGATTTCTTTCAAGCATTGTTACCGTTAAGACGTCGTCAATTAATAAATGGAACGGCCAGGTCGATGCCGGTAAACCGTAGGCCATGGACCGATAAATAAAGCGGATCGTAATTATAAATAACGGCGAAGTGGGTCCGTTCCGAAATAAGTAATCGGTGGTACGAGTCTGATCGTAAATAAGGGATATACCGCAACGCGTCACTTCCGCCACATAAAAACTAATAATAATAAAAAGGAAAGAAAAGCCAGGATACCCGTCGGCACTCCCAGAGCTGTAAATTAGCCCGTGGCTTATTCTTTCAGGACGGAATTTAATATCTCTGGACCCACGCTGCGTCCGGAGGTTAAAAATTATGCGCACACATGAGGCACCCGTAACAAGTATAATTATCGTGGCTGAGCCGTTCTAAGCCGATGATCACTCTGGCCGGTCTACCGTTCTCAGAGACAGTCCGATCCTTTTCTTTCCGTTTCGAACCATTGGGAGAATCAAAGAACGAATTACCCACCAAGAAATTCACTCCCTGGGAATCCCTCCCGAGACTCGATGAGCGATGACGAAGCGAAGCGGAGCACGGCTTCCAGGGGAAGATGCGATGCTGCAATTTTAACCTGCAGGTTTTGAAAAAGGGAACTTTTTAAAGATACCGAAACGCGTGCTTTAATTAATGGAGAATCGCGGTTTCCTTAAGGTGATATGAGAGTGGCATCTGGAAGATTAATCTTGCGTGAAACAAGGAAGGTCCTGGTCCCCATGAAATTTCATTTTTTATAATAGAATTTTTAAATGCCTAAAAAGAAATTTAAAAAAAAATTGAAATTTCATGAGCGTCAGGATCTTCCTTATAGCCTTCCTATTCACGTTGTAACGTTTGAAACGATTCGGTACACTTAGTTCGGTGAAAAGTTTCATAAATAAGACCGCTTTGAAGCGACTTTCGTATCATCTTAAGGACTGTTTACCTTTCGACGAGTGTTCGACCATTTGCGGCGATTCTGGTCGGCGCGTTCAAGAAAAAGTGATGTCTTGTCACGAATGGAAGTTGTGGTAAACTCGAAGATGCGGAACGGCTGGGGAAATCTGCGAAGAACCGTGGTTTTCTCAAGGGCCCATTTGTCCCTTGACGAGTGGTGAACCATTTGGTACCCTGCCGAGCCCTTAAAACATAAATACATCGAAGCCGCGGCGTTAAAAAAGGAATTCACCGTCACGGAAAGCACGCGAACGAGTCGGAGTTATAGCCGCTAAACGCGGCCCCGAAATGTTTCCGATGTAAACCGCCCACTTTTTACGGCACTACTCCGCGTTATTTCAACGTTATTAATTTATACGGTGAAACCCACCGGCATCGGCGGGATGCTCGCCGGGCCCAGCATGGAGGATCCTACCCGGGTGATCTATGGGCCGAGTGAGATGTTTTGAGCGGCTATCCGTTTCCGATCTCTGCGATCGTGGCCCGCTCTTAAACGATCGTTTGTTTTAATCGCCACCATTAATCCACTTCACGAGCGTCAGTGGCCCAGCCGAAACCGGTGGCACTGACTCGCTTGTCCGATCCCCTTACGCTCCGTTTGCCGGTCCCTTCGATCCTCTCGAGCACGCTCCGAAATAGATTCTCCGATCCTCCTCGAGAATGGGATGTGCCCCATTACTAGATACCTCGTTTTCCCACCCGGGGTGTCGTCGTCCATTTCCGTCCTTGTAACTCTTCAGCCGTTTTTTCCCTCTAGAGTCTTCCTCCGACGCGAGGTATTTCGGAGACACTCTTAAGGGGTTACACCACTTTGACCCACCCAAAAATTACGGTTTTTCAAGAATTTCTTTTTAAGAATTTAAACGTTTTTATCCAAATTAAAGTACAGTAAGGTATTATACTACTATTAAACTACAAAATATTTTTTTCTGCATGTTTTTATTTACAAAAATGACGGCTTGAAACGCGATTTACCGGAGCGCTGTGAAAATCGATGATCGTGCGGTGGGTACGATAACTTAGTCCAGGTTTAAGCTAGATCAATGAACGAAAAAGAATTAGTTTCTGTAGCCAAAAAGCTAGCGAAATGCGTAGCCGTTTTCAAAAATATGCATTTTTCACAAAATAGTATCGATTTCAAAGGAAAGATACGTATTTTTCCCTAAATTTTGTTAATTAATGTTGCATAAAAAACGCGAATATCAATACATTGAAAAAACCATACGTATTTCGCTAGATAAACATATCATGAATAAAATAAAAAATAATCAAGACGATTGATTGAAAATTAGCGGAGCTAGAGTGCCCACCGATTTTTAAAATGCAGTTTTAAGAAAAACGCGTAAAATATCGGCGTAAAAATTTTTTTGCATTTTTTGAAAATTTCAAAGTGGTATAACCCCTTAAACCGATCTCCTAAATTAATATACGAATCTTGCGTCTCGATTTACATTTCCTGTTTTAATTGTTGGATTTTTCTTTGCGAGGGGCACAGCATTTTTTATGATACCGTAGTATCGATACGAAAGGTCTCGTTTGTGGAACTTTTCTCCGGAACTTATCTTCCAAATTTCTCCCCCAGCAGTCTGGTATATCTTTTATCCATCGGGATTTTTATTTCCCATGGGATGAAACTGCAATATACGTATAGAAAGGAATGGGTGCGATACGGTGGTAGCAGGACCTGATTTTAAAATGGAAAAGGCGTCGAAAGACGCGGATGCGCTCGAAAATGAGTCTCTCCGGAATTAGTCGGTTCGTTTCCGTGTCTCAAAACGTCCATTTCCTGCGGTGTAATCCATTTTCCGTAATGGCCTAGGCCGAGTCTTTCGTCGCCTCGTCGGGTTCTTTCGGTCCACGAGAGGGAGGTCGCTGAATTAATTCGATAAAACGGACGAAATATATACCTTTCCGTGAAGGAATTTTTCGGGCCGGTCGCCACCCCCTACCGGTCGAGCCATCAAGCGGAATTTTAACCGGCCAGCGGCCCTAAATCATTAGCTATCCAAACATAGAGCCGATGGAGAACGATGCTCAAACGTTCGCTGCTGGGGTCCCCAGCGGGCGCCATCCTGGCCTTGCTCTTCCAGTTGCGAAGAACCGAACCCTAACCCAAGATACAGATTATGCTTTGCAAGACATTTGTCCCGATTTGGCGAACTCCGAGGCATCCTTGAAACACCCAGCGGGATAAACGAAACGAGTGCAAGAGGACATTTGACGCGATACTCTACCGAGTTTTCTGATTTACGGTGCCTATGCTGATAAAAATTGATGCGAATTTATATAGATTTTCACACGTCTCAACAAAGGGTGCGAGGGTATANACATGTCTCAACAAAGGGTGCGAGGGTATATTTGGCGCGATACTATACCGAGTTTCCTGATTTGCAACGCTGATAAAAATCAATGTAAATTTATATATATTTTCACACGTCTCAACAACGGGTGCGAGGGTATATTTGGCGCGATATTCTACCAACCCAAGATACAGATTATGCTTTGCAAGACATTTGTCCCGATTTGGCGAACTCCGATGCATCCTTGAAACACCCAGCGGGATAAACGAAACGAGTGCAAGAGGACATTTGGCGCGATACTCTACCGAGTTTCCTGATTTGCGGTGCCTATGCTGATAAAAATCTACGCGAATTTATATAGACTTTCACACGTCTCAACAACGGGGGCGAGGGTATATTTGGCGCGATACTTTACCGAGTTTCCTGATTTGCAACGCTGATAAAAATCAATGTAAATTTATATAAATTTTCACGCGTCTCTTAAACGAAGTTTTAGACAGAATAACGTTGAGTGGAATAATTGAAAATTACAAATGTATAAATATGGGTAACATTGTAACGCACTAAAATGTGGTGTACATATTAGTGGGGACATGTAGCAGGGTTTAAGGCAATTGTTGATGCAATTGATACAATGTTTCAGGATGTGGCAGCTAGGGGTTTGGACCTGCCGAAAGTGGACAGCGTCATCCAGTACACGGGTCCGACTTCGGCCAGAGATTACGTGCATAGGATAGGAAGAACGGCGCGGGCGGGATCATCGGGATCAGCTACCATTTTTCTAACTCCCCCGGAAGTCCAGTTTGTTCGGATGTTGGAGTCTAGGAGGATAAGGATCAAGCAGCGAGACATGGACGAGGCGTTGAACAGTTTGGTGGGTCCCACGTCGCGGTGCAGTTCCGCCCAAGCTGCTGCCACGGCGCTGCAGAACGCATTCGAGGCCAGCGTCCTGAAAAATAAGAAACTTCGGGAAAAGGCTTGCAAAGGTGAGGGTAAATCTCGGTACGCGTTCAATATCTCTCCCACATTTCGGAAGGAACAACGATGTTCCGAAATTTCCCAAGGAAGGAATCGCTGGAAGATGTTACCGGGGTGGAAAGGTGGAGTTTCGAGCCAAATACATATTTGAGCGTAAAGGTACACGGTCCGGGTTACTCATGATAGAATTTTGGAAACCGGCCCCATGGTTTTTTAATTATTCCGGGATAAGGGAGGAAGTGAACCATTTTACGTCGTCGTGTAGAGTATAGAGACTGAGTTTAGATACGGATACGGCGCGGAACCGATCGCGGAGTCCTCCAGGGCAAAGGACTCCGGAAGAAGGCTCATCCGGGGGAGGTTGCCCCCGAGTTGGGGCGGTTTTTCGGCGAAGATCGGCGCGAGCTGACTTTAGGGGTAGGTTAAACCAATTCGGTGGGCACCCTAGCCGCATATAAAATCACCCCATACGTCGCGTTATGGCTCCTCTCGGGCTCGCTCTCGCATTCGGTCGCACCACGCCTATTTACATAGCCCCTGGACGAGGAGGGATGATCTTGTTTGCCCTACCCGTGGTTACTCTATTAGGGTCGTTACGGGAAAGAATTTATTCCCTGCGATAATAAATCCATTATCCGTCGACTCGAATCCGTCCTCACCGCGTCGTTCTTGATGCGAACGAACGCCTCGTTCCCGTTTCTAAACTGAACGCTCGAGATGTCTCCCGTCATCCCTCCGCGTTTTTTTTTTTTTTTAATGAAAATGACGATTTCTTTGAAAAGATGAAAAATCGCTGATTTTGTTCAAATCAGGATTTTTAACAAATATCTTAGTTCAATCAATAAATGTAATCAATTTCTAGGAGAACTTTCGAGAATAGCCAGTAATCTAACGATCGTTTAATCCCTTAACGCACAGATTAAAAAAAAACCGGCCAAAAGAATCAATTTTTTTATGTAAAAAACACTAGATCATTGTCTTCGCGAAAAAATAAAATTCTCGATTATATTCGAGTGTGAAAAATTATAGTAGCATAAAATACATCGCCGCTCGAATTATCTCGAGTGTGCACAGTTTGGTCTGTTTAGCGCGCTCGAATTAACTAGAGCGCACAAGTTAAGGGGTTAAGGCCGTTTTTTCGTAACTCGAGTTAACCGAGGTTTAACTCGTCTACGGCGGGTCTAAACGAGTTAAATCTCGGTTTAAACCTAAGCAATCGATACGTTCGATTTTCGCCGTCGGTGTTATTTCTCAGCCCGGGAAAACCGGGGGCAATAAATCTTCCGGGAGGGTTTCCCTTCCGGACTTTACACGAAGACTTAGCCGCGGTTTTCGAGCGGTTAGCGAGCCCCGATTTGACTGACGCTACACAACTAACCACTTGACCGTTTCCCCGGACGCGCGAGCGTCGATTGATCGATCGATCGCCACGTGCGAGCGGACGGTCGCTCTCCCCCCGTCCCTCGCACTTTTCCCGCGACGCCGATTGGTCGACGCGGAGAGTGCGACTTAATTTGTCACGCGCTCGCCGATTGATTCGCCCACCCGGTTTCCGGCTGCCGAGCCGAGCGGTCCATCCAGCCGCGACGAGTGCGGCTTTTCGTTTACGCCACTCTCCCGGAAACGGGGAACAACCGGCCCCAAATACTCCTGGACTCGCAGATGGCCGTAGAAACTCGGGTCGGCGACGATCGCTGTGACCAGGGGGGCGGGAGAGACTACGTCGCGAATTATACGCGACGTTAACACATTCGCGACCGCTGACGTGAAATCACGTCTTTTCAAGTTCTAATCCTGATTGCCGCTGACGTGAATTCACGTCATTTTAAATTCTATTTCGGGTTGCCGCTGACGTGAATTCACGTCATTTTAAATTCTATTTCCTGACTGCCACTGACGTGAATTCACGTCATTTTAAATTCTACTCCTGATTGCCGCTGACGTGAATCACGTCCATGACGATATGCGATACAAGTTTGCGGCAACCAGTTTCAGAATTTCATTATTTTCGCCGGTACTCAGTATTTGAGACGGAAAAAATTTGCCGATCGCGAATGTTTTAAGGGGACGTATGAAAGTGACGTTAAAGAGGTCTCGTTTATGAAACTTTTCTCCGAATTGGATGTACCGAATCATTTTTCCTCCACGGAAGGTCCCGACCCTCGTGAAACTTGATTTTTGAGAGTTAACTACTTTAATGAATTAATTTTAAGGTCCGACATATCGCGAGAGCGACAAGAATACTTTTTGTCTGTTGCAAGTAATTCGTTTGCAAATTTAGCAAGTATATATATATTTATTTTAAAGAAAGCTCTCAATGGTTACGTCCACGATTTGATATATAATTCCAAAGATTTGTCGGTGGGATTATTCTGGAAGTACACTGAGAAAAATCAGGTACTTGAAGTGAAATAAATGTGCCTATTTAAAAATCGGATAGTTGATTAAAGTGAAATGTTCAACGGCTGAAGTAATTATTTCTTGACGAGAATTAAATGTGAAATACTTTTAAGTAAACGAAAAATGTAGAAATAAGTAAAGGTCTACTAGGTTCATATATGACTAAAATTGATTCGCCTCCAGTTGTACATATTTCTCAGTGTAGGAGCAAAACTTTATCGGTTATGGTATCCTTTGCTAAATGTGCAAATGGGGCATATTTTTTCCGGGGGAGGAGAATTGCGAACAGGTTGGGTCAGAATTGGTCGAGTTATTTAATTCTTGGCTGCCGTCACGGCGGAGGGTGGCAGGGGCGAGTCGGAGAAGTGGAAATCTCGCTAATTCGTAACATTATCACCCCAATAGAGCCGAACAGCCCTCAATAGCGAGTACAGCTCCATGGAACAACCCCCTGGGTTCCGACCCTCGCCACTAAGCTAAGGGATTCATCCACTTTATCCCGTATATACGACTCACACCCCCGAGAGCCGACTATACACCCCTCGACGTAACTCTCCGAGGATTCCACTCCACGCAAGACTCGATTCGCCGTATTATATACTCGGTGGGGAATCCGCGATACGTTTCGCAAATCCTAGATACGACGCCGCGGTAAGAGGAGACCCGAGCGGCGTTGCTTTTCCCCTTTTCTCTTCACTTTATGCTTTCTCTCCCTTCCCTTTATTTTCCCCGCTTTCAAGATGCTCGTATACAAGTTCGAAACGAGCGTCCACCGTCTTTCCTTTTCTGCTTTTTCGCTTGTTTGGCCCGAGACGAAGGGTCCGCCATTTTTACGTCTCTACTCCCCGTTACAACGTTTAGGGTCTTCCGCGTATCTTCTAATAACATCTATTTAACCTTATATTTCATACGAGGAGTCTATTTAAACTAAGATATTTTTTAAAAAGCCATGATTTATAATTCGACTAAACGGCAGCAATTTTTTTTATGTGAAAAAAAGAAATCCTGATTTTTATCAACCCTGCCGATATGTGCTATGCAGTAATTCCGTGTTGTTCTATTTTACGAGGGTGTAATCGATGAACCCTGAATTACCAAATTTTCCGCGAGTAACGTCGTGATTCAATAGTTTCCTTATTTTTCAGGTGACATTTATTCGGCGAGGTTCGAAGGCATCTTCATGCCTTTCGAATTTCAGGACTTGTAGTCGCCAAACGATTCTTGGAAGGGTGTACCTTATACGTCCGGTTTTTAATGAAGGATAAATCATCTAAGATGGATTATAATTATCTCCGGGGACTTCTACGTGCGTCTTTTTACTTTCTCCCGTGATATCTCATTTTTCTTGCCGTTTACTTCCAACCGTTTTCAAGATGGCGGCGCTCGCCGCTCCCCGGCAGATTCCAGGTTGTCTTATTTTACGAGGTTGTAATCGATGAACCCTGATTTACCAAATTGTCCGGGAGTAACGTTGCGATTCAATAGTTTCGTTATTTTTAAGGTGAAATTTATCTCGCGAGGTTCGAAGGCATTTTCATGCCTCTCAGATTTCAAGACTTGTCGCCAAACGATTCTTGGAAGGGTGTACCTTATACGTCCGAGTTTTAATGAAGGATAAATCATCCAAGATGGATTATAATTATCTCCGGGAATTTCTACGCGCGTCTTTTTACTTTCTCCCGTGATATCTCATTTTCCTTGCCGTTTACTTCCAACCGTTTTCAAGATGGCGGCGCTCGCCGCTCCCCGGCAGATTTCGCCTCTCGGAGTTACGACGAACGGGGCGTATTTCGTCGTCGACTCGGGGGTTGACGGCAGGGCGGACACAATCCGACCGCTGAATGTGGCTTCCGTCAAAACCACTTACGCTTTGTGGCGAGATACTCTTAACGATGCGATACAGGATACAAATACAATAAGACGCGGTTACGTCACTTAGGAACAATGCCGCCGCCGACGCCCGCGCCCACGAGATTTATGCGCTAAATGGGGAAAAACATTTCGCCCGTTTCCGCCTGGCGGGATCGGGCCGAACTTTCGAGAAGGATCCGAGGACTTCCTAGCCGAGAGTTCGGGAAGAGGAGCTCGTAAAAGCCGGATGCGAGGCGATAGGTTCCTTCGAAACCTCGGGGTGGCGTCGCACATTCATCCGATTCTTCCTACGTTGAGAAAAACAGGACAATAGGGAATATTCCTTCGAACGGCACCGAAGTAACGTTTCGTTAATTCGAGGACTTAACGAAAGATTAGGAATTATTTCATGCAAATAAACCACGAATAAATTGGATGCAACGTTTCTTCAGAATTATGAGAATTTATTTCAGTTTACAGATCGTTCGACTAATTGTTTTCTGAATTAACGAAATATTTCATTGGCACCGTTGAATTAATATTATTTTTCTCAGCGTAGAATTTCGAACGAGTGCAGCGTCAAAATATTTATAAAACCTTTCTCCAAACCGGGGGCACCGAATAATTGTAATCTTTAACGCGTGATCATGGAGGTGAACGAAGAGCGCATGAAATTCAGGAAAATTTCATTTTTCGAAAGAAGAAAAATTCTTTCTTTGGTTCTTGACCGGGATAAAGAGATGTATTTTTTTTTCTAGGAAATTGGAAATTTCGGGAATTCTAAAGTTTCAAATTATGCGGCGTACCCGGTCTGGAGAAGTCTTATAAACATTTTGACTTTTTGGTATATGTGGCACTTTCGTAACACCTTAAAACCGGATCGGAGGTATTTCGACATTTTCGTTCGTTGACCGTAGATAGACTTTGGGGAGCGACTCGAGAAGAGAAAGTTGCCTGGGGGTCGCAATTCCGAGATGGGATCGGAATTTCGCACGGTGGTGGAGACGCGTTAACCTCCCTCAGGAACGAAGGACCCCGGGGTTTCTCACCCGCGCGGAAGTAGGGCGACTATTAGCCACAGCACTTGACTCTACCCCCGTTAATGCCCCTTAATAGCCCACCATGGGGCCCGGAGTCCCCCTACGGGAACCTAATGGAACCGCGATTAATAAGGGCGCGAGAGTGTCCCGATCGGGACACGTGACCCGGCTTTCAGCGGAATGTCGGGACTCCGGACGAGGCGATTCTTTCCTTGTATGAAAGGAAAAGAAAAAAAAGATTCATTCACCTTAAAAAATATTTCATTGACTAGTCCCCGAGAAATATTTCGTTAATTCACAGAATACTCGACGCAAATTAATTTAAATAAATTCAAATAAATTCTGATAATTCCGAGGACCCCGGTAGCATAGAATAATTCCTAAATATTTGTTAGTAATCTTTGCTAAATATCTCAAGCGACAGATTTTTTAAGATTTCTTGTAGATTTCATTCGAAGATATCCGAAATATTTGTTGAAAATCTGAACGACATATTTAGTTACAATAAATTATAAACGTATATAGAAATTATATTTTTTAAATTATGATCGTGTAATAGAAAAACATTTTTTACTTCACGACTATTATCGGACACTTCATTTGGTATCAAAGATACCCGAGAAATTTTTCTAATATTTTCGTTCCACTATTTCATTATGGGAGCTAAACGTGTGACTTTGATTTTAAATATTTTTAAAACGTTTATAATGTATTCGGCAGATAATATTTAAAAAGTACTTGTGTTAAAATGAAACGAAATATTTTGTATACCTGGTGGCAAAATATTATGAAAACACATGGAGCTAATAAATATTATAGAGATAATATTCTAAAGTAAACGTTTTGCAAATATTTCAAATGTCTGGTAAATATTTACAAGATGTAGGATATTCGTTAAATATATAGAAAATATAGGACAAATATGTTGTGCTACTAGGGGAGATGCGTTGCGTCCAATTTATTCTAGTTTATTAGGGTCGTGTAATTATTTTTAAAATCAACGAAATATTTCCGCGGTTCCTTGAAATGTTTCCTCGACGCATGCCGGGTGAGTCATTGCTCGTCTTCGCAGCGTACGTATCCTGGGTGCGCTTCTACGCGAGCTACCCTAAGGACATGCGGGAAGTCTTCAACCGCAAGGACCTCCACCTGGGACACTTCGCCAAGAGCTTCGCCCTGAGGGACCCGCCGCAGCGGATCGGCGCGATCGGCAGGACTCTGAGAGAAGCCGAACCCGGGAAACGACACGACAACAGGTTCTCGAATGTCGAGGAAAAGTGAGTACGCCTTTGCATGCCGTGGACCTGATGGTCCTGCTATTATTAGTTCTAAACGCGGAAAGTTACGTCAGGACCGATGAGAATTCCCTGCCAACATATCGGTCATTTTCCCAAAACTTTCTCGAGAAAGTATGAGAATTTAAAAATTTACAACTTAAACATTATCACCTTAAGGTGATCCGAAATGGTCATTCTACGTATATGAAGTTTAAAAAAGTATTCATAAAACTTTTCTTCAAGCTGGATGCACCGAATCGTTGGAAACTTCAGCACGTGAGTATGGAGGCCCTAAGGAAGGGCGTGGGGCGAGTGAAATTTCATTTTTAATAAAAAATTGATTTATCCCAGGCTAGAATCAACTTTTTTTTTTTTAATTAAATTTCACGAGCCCCACGTTCTTCCTTAGGGTCTCCATAATCACGTGCTGCGGTTTCAAATTATTCGGTGCACCCAGTTTGGAGAAATGCGGTGTAAATATTTGGACGTTTCGATACGTACGTAATGACCCTTTCGTATCACCTTAACGACGGATTCACGCGTGGGTTGCCTCGGCGACCGCGGCCGCGCCACGGACCGGGACGGGACGGGGCCGGCGCCGGTCCGGCAACGTCGCCGCCGTCAAAACTGTCGCGCGACGTCGTCCGTCATGTCGACCGAGCGGGCGGACGCGTCGCGCGGCAGTGGCGGCCGCTCGGCCGTCGGCGGCTCGTCGACTCGACTCGACTCGGCGCAGTACGCGCATCACGTGACCCCGGACCGGGCCCGCCCCCCTCCGGCGAGGTCGCCCATTGTCCATAATTATACAATACGGCTGTTAAACAGACTGATGCGACGCCGCTTCCGGCCCGGCCATTTACGGAAGCCCCGGCCCGCCGGGCCGCCGGCCACCTTTTCGGAGGACGCTCCGCGTCGACGTTTAATGCGATTTCAATGGGCGGGCTTTCCGCCCGTCGTTAGGAGCCGCCGACCCCACTGGACGCCCGCTCTCCCGACGAGAGCGACTTTTAATGGGCGAAAGGCGGGCTGCGGGGATCTCGTTGGCGACTCGGGCCTCCTTCGCGGGAAAACTCGGGAGGGGCGGCTGGACGGTGCCGAGGCGATTGGATCGCGGACTGGAGGAGGACGAGGAGCGAGGTCGCGCTCATTAAAGTGATATGAAAGGGTCATTCTATATATATAACATTTATATATACATACATATACATATATATATATGTGAAAATATTTAGAAAACTTTTCTCCGGATTATCGGAAATTTTAACACTTTATAACAGTGATTATAAAGGCCCCATGGAAGAACGCAATGGCCTTGAATTTTCGTTTTTTTTAAAAATGATTTTTTTTGCTTCTCGTTCGAGATGAATATAGATTTTATTTTTCGAAATATGAAATTTCACGACTGTCATGTTTGTCCTTTGGGCCTTCGTAATCCCGGGTTGAAGTTTCAAATGATTGGGTGCACCCAGTTTGGAGAAAAGTTTTATATCTTCACGTTTTGATATATATGGAAAGACCCTCTCGTATCATCTTAATGCCCTCTAAAGAAATGTTCATTCAACCAGAGACAATGGTATTCTTTAAATGGTAACAAAGAAGCATTATGTTAATTCAAAGAATGACGAGTCAAATGAAATCGCAGGAATTGGATGCGACGTTTCTTCGGAATTGGGACGACTTATTTGTGGGAGATAATTATTTTTTTCATTAGAAACTTTTTTTTTTTCTCAGTCCGCGATCGCGTCGTGAACGGAGAATATATGAAATTGGATATTTGGAATTGGAAAATCGATGGGGCTTTCTGGTACTCGGGGGGGAAGGCACCGAAAAGGAAAGCTTTTCTCCCTTTTTTTGGGGTTAGGTCGCCGCCATAGCGCAACCGTTTCGGATAAAAGGAAAGAGAGAACGCCAGTTGGCGGCCTTATGCGTGGCCCGTTTTAAGGCGAGGCATTTTTTGTCACTTTTCCATTACCGCGTTGTCCTCGGCTCGAGTCGGGACCACATGCCGTTTAAGTTGGATCGCCGAAAATTGCGGGTTAGCCTTAACGCGAAGATTACGGCCCTTCTCTTGCTTTCAGGACGAACGAGCGACCGCGGAAGAGACAAGATGGCGGCGGCGCGCAGAGGCCGGGACTCTTGAAGCGCGTCAGGATGCTCAATACCTCGGAATATGGAAGCGGTTTAGAACCCGTCAAGAAACCGCGCAAGATTTGATCGATTCTTAGGTGCATCCGGGGAGCCGATTTTTAAGTTCATATCCTGTTAATAAAAAATATGATAATTATATAACATTTTTGTTGGAAGTTTTATTCAGACATGGTATACAAAATTTTATAACATATCTTCAAATATATTACAAATTTAGTACATACGTGGAATAAATTTATAATATATGTTATAACATTTGTGTTGATCAGTACTCGATTTTGAACGGTTTTATTTTTTTTTGCAGACATACAAATTTGACATTTGTTCCGGGCACGTTCGAGGACGATTATAGAGAGATCTTAAACGCTGAAAAAAATCTTATTGCAATTATCGGGGTAGCGAACCCCGAAAATTCACGGGAAAGTAGCAGGTACGTTGTCCACGCTGCTACCGAAGTCCTCTACTGATTGTAATAATTTTTAAAAATATTATTTAAATATTTCTCGGACTCAAGAATGTCGCTACAATGCTTCTCCGCCAGTACCACCGATACTTGTCATCTCTCGATTAAATTTGTTTAAAAATAAACGATAATAAAATTAAGAACTCATGTAAAAAATTTACATACAATGCGTGCTAAATGACTTTCGAATATCCAACATATAATTTTTCTCCGCAATTTCACAAAATTACGACACGATGTTATGAAATTATAAGTCTACTTAGAATTTTATAATAAATGTATATTAATTCACCATTAAGACGTCAAATTTATAATTTTACTGCGACCTTGTGTACTAAAAGTGTATGAATTTTTTAACAGTGCAGTTTTACCTTTCAAGAGATATTCCGCAAGAGCTCAAGGCGTTACGCGAATCTGGCTCGAATTGCGGAAAGGAAGCACGCGATTCGAATGAGCGCGTCTCGTTAGCGAGGCTCGAAAAATATATTTCGACGGCTCGAAGTCGAGGCATTCGACGCGTTTCCGGTGCCGGTTCGTTTCTTGCACCTCACCTGAATTCTCGAGGAACCGATTCGTTAGTCTGGAAGAAGCGAGTGCAATTGCAAGGCGTATTTACTCGTCCGGGGGTGAGAGTCGGTCGCGAGGCGGAGGCACAGACGGGAGCGGGAGGTTATGATTAATACCCCGGCATTATTTTCCGATTTTTTGCCCGGCGATCGCAAATTGCTTGCAAATAAAGCCGCCGTCGGCGAACTATCGCCGCCAAGCAAGGGGGGGCTTAATTTAATTTAATTACGCCTTCTTTCTCCGCTACCACCACCGGGAGATAGATAGCGACCGGCGAGATCGGAATTGCTGAATCGCGCTCAAGCTGCGCGAACGACCGCGCCTTAACGCGATAATGTACCGTATTACTCGCTAAGTTCACGGCGAAACTCGGACTCTGGATTAATGACCCTTGCCTGCCTTCGCGGAGAAGAATTCCGAAGGGGGCATCCATGGGCACCAGAGGCCAGGAGGACGAACTGCATAAAAGATACGGAACATTGCTTGAAATTGGAGTACGCAATCGGAGAAATTAGGTGGTGTTTGCAGCGCCACTTGACCTCGTAGACGGAAGTGAGGAACTAATTTTGCACTTGCGGGTTACTCATTAAAACGACCAACGACATCTGTATTATTTCTTCAGTACCCTGTAATGCCCTGGCGACATCTATGATTTTCATTTTTTACCTTCCACTCAGCGTACCTTCTTCTGTTTATTTCAAATTTTCAAATGGCGAAATCATATAAATTTGAAATAACCTGTAATGGCGGTAATAGCTGTAATAATAGAGAATGTAATAAACTTTAGCAGTAAATAATTACTGGAAAAAGTGGTAGGAAAGTATATTTATGTCTATATATAGATATATGTAACTTGGCAAGTAGAATGGAAATGACATTACTATGGGTTATGTTTCTGTGAAACTCATAGATTATTATAAAAAAAATAAAATTTTATTTATCCCATTATTATTCATATTTGTTCATATTACGAACCCGATCGATCTGAAAATAATGATTTCAAATCACATTGCATTAACTTAAAATTTTGTAATTGATAAGAAATGATTATAACTAAATTATAAAGTTAGAAATTTAAAGTAAGGCAGCTAATAAATTACCTAACCTTATTAACTGCAAATTTTACACTAATATTAGATCATTTCTTCTGAAATAACAGTTTCTGAATTTTATTCACATTTCAATTTATGGCGGGAAATTTGCTAGTTCATACTTCCGGTACTATAGATCCAGAGGTCGCTGCAAACACTAGTCTCGAAGAATAACAGTGTCAGCTCCCTGGAAGACCCGTCGAATTGAAAACCCGGAAAACTCCGCGTTTTCCTCCCTTAGCCAAAACTTGTTTAAATAAGGGGACGTATGTCACAAGTAAATGTCCATAAAAGAATTTATAGATAACATGTACATGGAATATTTGATCGTAGATAATTAAAAGGGGCGAAAAGCCGTTTCCAAGGACTCGTCCGTCTTGATGGATCTTTTTTGGGGGGGGATAAAAATCCTTATTACCGCTCGGATATGCACAGCTTGAGTCCGATTAGTACGGGAGGAGACGCGCCGGCAAAAAAGGATGGAACTGCTGCATCTTGTCCGGAATTCTCCTCACCGGCGGGCGCTCGTCCTCCACCTTCTGCGGCTTGGGACAAAAACGTAAGCACTTATAAGAGGAGTCGATTATTCTCGGCGATTACCGATTTCCGACCAGTTAACGACTTTTTCGATCGTTTACACCTTTGTCCCGTTACAGGCGAACCACTTGGGGAAACCTCATTATCTCCGCCGTCCGATCGCCGGCGTGCATTGCTATTCGATTTCATGCGCGAAATTAGCATCGATCAGCTGTCCGATAGAAGAGAGGCCGGCGACAAAAACGATCGGAGCCGATCGATAATTCGAAATGAAGCTCGATTAACCGCGGGAAAATTATCCAGGCTGAAATTCACTTCCTGCCCCGATGCGGGATTTTCAAAAAGAAAAGTTGGTCGACTCAAAGAAATATGTATACATTGCGGCAACGACATTTTGCGATTAAATACGTTTAAATTGACCCCATACATTTTTCATTTCGACGAAATAATTGTTTCTTGCAAGTATATGCGATTCAGGCAACGATATATATTTGCTTTTTTTCTCGGCGTAAAAGCCTCCTATAAAAAGAATTTCGAAATCGTAAATTCATTTTGACAGATATTCATTCTCGTTTCTTGTCAGTGTTCATATTTTTAATGTGCAGGGAGAGAGAAAACTAATACGATTCGACGCGCGCGATTTCAAAATGGCGGCTTCGATTGAGACCCTGAAATTCGCTTTCTACCCCGACGCGGGATTTTCAAAATGACAAGTTGGTCGACCCAAAGAAATATACATCGCGACAACGAATCTTTGCGATTAAATATGTTTAAATCGACCCCATAAATTTTTCATTTCGACAAAATAATTGATTCTTGCAAGTATATGCGATTCAGGCAACAATATATATTTGCTTTTTTTCTCGGGGTAAAAGTCTCCTTTAAAAAGAATTTCGAAATCGTAAATTCATTTAGACGGATATTCATTCTCGTTTCTTGTCAGTGTTCATATTTTTAATGTGCAGGGAGAGAGAAAACTAATACGATTCGACGCGCGCGATTTCAAAATGGCGGCTTCGGTCGAGACGCGTCTCGAAGAAGCGAACGCGTCGATATTCGGTGTCTCTACGTTTTCGAGTTGATTTCTAGGGTGAATGGCGTCGAGAGGGGAGATCCGATTTCCTTGGAACGGTTCCACCTTTTCGAAGGAACTCTGCGAGAAAAAAAGGGAGTCCTTCGGGCGGCGTAACACGAGCGCCGAACTCGGACACGCGATCCCCGACTTACCACGACCGGGTGCGACCGAATACGGAATGGAAGTAACGCCTTGTAATCTTTTTCTCTCTCTCCAGCCGACCGACCTAATCGATCTCGGAATAATTCGCTATCTAGGTTGCACCTACCGATGGTTGGCCCGGAAGGGGCCGGAAACCTATTTCCGCGCGGCCCTCGAAGAAATCCGTTTGGAAAGGCGCCGGGATCCGCGGAATTAGCATTTTACGGGCGAACTATCTCTGCAAGCGTTTTATTGGCATGCCGTGCGAAGAAGCCATAGGCCGGTCGCTTCGCCTGTTATTTCTTATACATGCATATTGCGCCGAACGCCCGATATTCCCGACGCCCGCTAAACTGGCCGCTCTTGGTTACTTAACCAAGCACTTAACCGACGCTGGACGTGTTAATCCACCGTCGAGGAACGCCGGAATCGATTCGAGGACTTGCTTACCCAGACAGCATAAAATATCCATAGAATATAGAAAAGAAGTTGGAAAATATTCCTCATGTATATTCGACATTGGAATGATATTTTAAGTACAATATTAGATTATGTACATTTGATAATGTTTCCTAGATATGGTCTAAATATATATACAATATTGGTTTAGCAGTGTCATTTTAAATATGGATATTCTATAAATACTACGAGTGTTAGAAAAGGTTTGTAATATAACATTGAAATACTGAAGGTAATAATTATTTCATACATTTTCACATACACCCTTATTTGAAAAAATCAAAACATGCTAAATATTTCGCGCGATAATGATAATATATTATTACTTTATTTTTTGTAAAAGTAGGTGCTTACGTTTCAATATTTCAATATTTTATCTCACCTAAGATTGACACTATTTTAAAAATAGAATACTGAAACATGAGCTTTTTGTAGTTTTATTTGCGTGCTAAAAAATATTATTCAGATATGTATATGACATGCTACTTCTTATGTGTAAGAAGTATCAATTCCATGTTCATACATTATTTCGTTAAATATATTTCGAATATGAAAAACTGACCAAAACTACATTCATCCTATGTTCAAAAATGTACATAACACATAAATCCATATCCTATTAATATTGAAATATTTTTAAAGAATATTCTATGAACCTCCGTGCTATGTATTTGCGCTATCTGGGTAGGATTGCGGCGAAAAGTTAAGACGATGTGAAAGTCACGTCTCAGGGGTTTATTAAACTTTATTTTATTCCTGCTATTCGACTTTGGAGTCGGGAGTTCCCGAGCGTAGCGAGGGAAAACCTCGTGTCGTAACGTAAACAATAAATAATCCGGATTTTCACAGAAAATTAACGACACGTTACGAGTCTTGAAACGCCGTTTCGGGAAAGTTTCGTGCACGCCATCTATGTATCGCGATTACTCAATCTACGATTATAATTAACGCGCTCTAGGCGTCAACTTTCCCAGAAGGAAAGCGAAAACGATGCGTGGCCGTAATCGACGGTGAACGGTTGCATTTTCAGCCCATTAGTGTCCTACTCCTGGATGAAGGATCTGATTATTTTTATTCCACAATTCCTAACCGGATAAAAAAATGATACCACCATCCGATTGGTGTTGCATTTTTTATGCGTGACGCGTCGCGCCATATATGATGCTCGACTTGGGGGGACTTCGGCCAAACTGCTTTCCTTGAAGAACGA